ATGCATTTAGAGTTGATAAAATAGCAAATCATGTTTTCACAATCATTCCAATTATTTAAATACATAAAAATCAGCATGGCACCTAAGCCTTATTGAAAATTCAGTAAAGAAAAGGAGTCTACATTTTATCGCATGAAGAAGATGGATGAAAGGAGACTTTCAGAGGAGTATTTCAGCACATCCTATAGGAGCTTTGCTATAAAAAATACCTTCAAATAAATCACTTCCAATAAGCTTCCAGTCTAGAGGATCTGGAGTCATTACATGAAAAACATAAAGGGGATGTCTCAGCCTGTAAGGGTCACAAACTTTATCCGTGTGTTTTTCGAATTTTACTTCATGCACTAGAGGGAGCTCCTGCAACTCTTTATCACAATAGAAACCTGAAGTCAATATGGGGAACGTAATGGAAATAAAGCATGAGAGAGGTTTCAGAAAAAAAACATATTCCTCACCCAATAGCAAGAATGACTGTATGAATTTGCACAACTTAACCTGCTTTTATCTTCTGTGTTCAGTATGGTTTCCTCAGTATAAAGGACATGAAGCAGCACTTTCACCCCTTCAGGATGCATGCTTTCAATGAAGGTGGCACAAATTTATGTAGGTTTCAAACAGTTATAGAGATTAAGTTATACAAAAAGAAAGCTAGCGTGGTTTTTGAGGTGAGAAGTTGTTTTAATTGAGTGTGTCACAGGAAAAATATATGTGAGCAGGTAATCAAAGTCTGTAACATAATAAACATGAAGAACTGAAGTCTGTACCATAAGAAACATGGATAAGAGGACTTCATTAACACTGCTCAGTCAGCCTCCATTCTTGAAATTTTCTGCTTCTGAGCACTTAATTTTTCAGCCTTCCTTTCAAGCATAATTTTTTTTGTGTGGTTTCTTCAGGATGTGGAGGTTCTTTTAGCAAACTGCAATACGGAGATTCCATTGTGGAAAACAACCTAAAACTTCAGCTTGGATCATTAGCAGGGTTATGACTTTTTGACTATCAACTAATGGAATAAATACAATAATTGTTATTAATCACAGATTTCTATTCTTTCTGTGGATCACTCCTATGCTCTCTTAGCCATAGCATCCACAGTTTGCAAAGGAGTTTAAGACATTTACAGATAGCAGAAAAAAGCATTCAGCACCACACTCCATAGGAGAGTGGAGATTCATGCTCTCGATGGGTCTGTCCTCTGTTCTTACCCACATTCATTCTTGTGTCTCTACAACTCATTTCTGCAATGCCCTCTTCTTTAAAACTATCATGTATGTCATGTCTCCAGAGAAGAATGGGCTATTTCTTTACTCATTTCCTACTTGGGCAGCAATAGAGGGTGTAAAAGCACAGGGGAGACAACTGTGGTTTTCAATTAGTGTCTGGCTTTATAATAATCAAAATGTTGCTCTAGCAACTAGAATGAGTGATTGTGAGAAAATCCACACTGTTAAGCATCGACACAGGAATGCCCAAGCAGTCCAGGACCAAAGACGAATAGCGTGGGAATTCTGCACGTGTAACATGCACAGCCTGTGTGCACAGGCTTGCAGTTACACTGTAATGAGCCTCTAGTGAGCCAGTTTCAACAGAGATTTTTCAAGGCATAACAATACGGTTTATTTTGTAGGGGGTTGCAAATGACACTTCTTACTGCCAGAACAAGCCCCAAATGTCGAGGTCCTAGTCCAAAGGACAGGATTGCTAGTGTATCCCTGGGAAGAGCTATTTAATCTGTGCTATGTATTTTCCCCCAACCTCAATGTCAGAGGTTTGATCCATTTCAATTTAAAAATCAGCCAGAAGCATACTCTCAGCATGGCAAATTCAGTGTAAACAGTGAAAAAGTGGCCAAATTGTAAGAACAGATCTTGTAGTGGGAACCACCATGCAACCCTGCTGCCAGCCCTGCTGGTAATATATGGAAACAGAACCACTACCTATTCTGTCCACATGCTGGAACACGACCTCCCCTGCGTTCTAAGTACTCTTCTGTATATTTCCCAAAAATGTATTTGAAATTATTATTGATTTTGTCATTTTGGCTTTAGGGTTATTTTCATCTCACAGATCCAGCTATATCCAACTCTACCCCATGAGAATTTTCAGAAACTAGAGCTAGAGAGACCGGTGTACAGATATTAGACTGACAAGTTAAAAAGACTGAAGCTGTGTTATTTTCCCTTACGTAAGACAGCTTTAAATTGACTTTGTTTCCATTTCCCAAAATATAACTGGGGACAGTAGCGTACTCTGTCTCAGTATTTTATGCTCAATTTAACTGCTACATTGCATTAAATGATGTGCAATAATGTAACCCTAAATGCAAATGAATTTGTGTTTGATAAAAAAAAAAAATCACTTTGCTGCCTTCCCCAAATAGAATTTTTTTTATAGATTTTAATGAACTAGGAAAACCAAACAACCCCATATGGTGGGAATATTTCAAGGCATATATTAGAAGAAAAATCTTATGTTACTCATCTAATAGATGTGACAGGAGAAAAAAATTAGGCTATGAAGATGGAACTCAAATAATTAGCAAATATGGAAAATCATGTATTACAGTGCTTGTAAAAGATTCAGCACGGGCTAAAAGAGAAAAACATGCATTTCATATTTCAAGAGTGGAATATGTTAAATTATATTTGAAGCAAATTATTTTTAGTTATAAACTTCCCTGTAAAATTAAAAAAAACAATCCCCTCCCGAAAGAAATGCATCATTATGATCAGAACTACTGAAGACATTATGTTATCTCCTTCTGTCTAAGAGTGTAATGTTTTCTTACCATATGAAAGATTTTGAGGAACTTTCTCTGAATCTCATAAAGTTCCTCACTTACTCTTTTTCTGGACATTACAGAGTAGCCTGCGGGCCTCTCTGAGCTGTATTTGCTGCCAGTCCCACAGGCATCATTCTGGCAATCTAAAGATATAAAGTAGTGTAAAGATGTCCTGCAAACACTTCCCTTTCCCTGGATGAATGCCCTTCCCTGATGCAGTAGCCAGTTTCACAGTCATGTATCACCCTAAAATAAACAAAATATATAAAATCTACAAACACAAGGCTGTTTTCTGGTACCCTGTTATTTCATATTTTGAATAGCTGGCAACAATTCTGGGAATTTGGCCCTGCAATCCCAGTACCTCCCTGATCACTCAAAAGTGACTGCAGGGCATGAAGATTGACATGTTGTATAAGCACTGTTAACAGTTGTACAGTTTAAAATTGCAGGAATGAATCTTGCATGCAGTAAACAAAGTTCTTGGGTGTTTATTTCTGCTGCATTTACCTTTCACTTAATATAACTAAAGAGAACCATGGCCACATGGCAAAAACACAGAACTAGGATTCATGAACTATTTCTGTGCTGTGTAGGTTCTTCTGCCACATTTGTCATGGGACTGTCTGAGTTCCTCCAGGATTAACCAAAGTGACAAGTATCTGTCACATATTTACTCTCTCAGCTTCTCTCCACAGAAATGTGTACAGTGTGGGAGGGAGAAGGATGGCTGCTTTATATGTGTGTCTTGAAAAGTAAGTTAATATGGTTTGCAAAGGACCTTATTCCTGTAAAAGTCGTTGAACGGTTTGAGCCTGCCCCAGCCAAGTTCTATCTCCTACCCAGCTGAACGTTACTTGGTGCGGGAAGAGTCCTGTTGGGCTAGAAAAGCCCAGCTATTGGCAGCAGTATCAATCAATAAATTTTGCTCTGTTTCTAAAATACTTTGTACCTGAAAGTGTATACTTCCCTTAGTTGAGTATCATTGCCCATTACTGGGGGGATATCACCTTATAGGAAAGATGGATATTTTTACCTTGTAACCTCTATCTGCTTCAGAAAATACAACATCTTTTAGTTTGGATTCTATGCCTGGTGCTTTCATTGGGAGGTCAGGCAAGACTTCTGGTCTGGCTTAACTCCCAGTGTAGCATTGAAACGCCAACATCTTAGAGAAGCACTGTGACTTAACTCATAACTGTTTGTAAAATACTTACAGAATGAAAGGTGCTATCTAAGTATCTAAGAATTATTACTCAGTGCATGGAAAAATGTTTATTTTCCTACAGGATAAGGCTGTGTCAGGAAGTGGTATAGCCTTAGTGAATAAGACTGTAGAAAAAGGAACTGCATACTGTTACGTTTATACATTTAATAAAGGCTGAATGTGACAATTAAGAAAGGTCAGTACCCTTGAGGAAGCAGGACAGACAGACAGGGAGAGGTGGAAGTAGTTATTTTCGCATTAAGGAAACACACTAAAATATTCATTGTCTTTATCTGCTGTCAAGAGATGTTTTTTGTGTAACAAAAATACCTTTAACCTTTTAAAGACATCACACAAATGCATCCAATTAAACTCCTATGTCCAGAAACAAGGCATCCAAGCATCTGTTTATTACTGTAACTTTTCTACTCCTGCCATAAAAAATTCTAAGTTATTAACCTTTACAGCAATGCTTGATAATATTTCTTCCCACTATTACAATTACTTTAAACCCAGCATAGAAAAATTCATGAGTTCTTTCATGTGGGCCCTCATCTGGTGAGACTGAAGGCACAGAACTATTTTACAAAAAGGGGAATTGGGACATAAAGCTGTTCTCTGAACACAAGAGAAAATTCACCCTGAATTTAGGATTTAGTTATAAATTTTATGATCCATTGGCTTGCACTGGTCTTGTCACAGTGCTGCTTTTCTTCTTTACCCTCAGCACCTTTCCAACAAAAGACAGGACAACCAGATTGTAACACAAATTTTGGCAGCAGTACACTTTCCACTAATGCTGATCCTGAACCAGTTGCTTTCTCCAGTTATATGACACAATGTCTAAAGCATCCTTATAATTTGTATACTGTACTCACATGCATCAACCACATGCTTTGTATTTGCACCTGATTCTTTTCAATTTAATGCTGTACTTTTGCATTTTTCATTACCAAATTCCTCCCCGCCTCCCCCATCAAAAAAACAAAGGCAAAGCTAGGTGTGATTTACCTTATTACAATTTTTAGAAACTTGGCAAAGAGCACTGCTTGACATACTGTCCTTATCTGGCATCCCTAAAAAAAGAACACAGAAAATAAATACATACTGTACATTCTTTAAGTAACAATGGAGATATTTATCAATAGAATGGGGAATTGGAGGGTTCAATACTTTGGTAACATACAGATTAATCTATGACTTTTTTAAGAGCAAAACAGATTTATTCAGACAAAAATTTTCTCTCGTGAACACAAAAAAGACAAAAAGCTAACTTGTGTAAATACTATAAACAGCTTGCTAAACATAGTACTTTCTCACAACTTGATATTTGAAGTATATATACAGGAATTATTTATATTTTTTTATTTAACATTATCTGTGGTTTAGTACCTGGAAGTCAAATTGGACACTGAGTTTGCAATAACTAGCATTGCTACGCTATGCTATGCTATGCTATGCTACTGTTTCACAAATAGAACACATTGAACACGTAACATATGGGACAAAATTTGCAGATGCAGTTGCTAGCTATCAGATATTGTCCTGGGTGGCAACTGAATAATCATCTGGCAACTAAATAGAAGTCCCTTGATTTACAGAAGTGAGTTCCAATGGATTCATGTCTACAGCACTATCCCCCAGTTAGACAGGCTCTCATGAGGCAGACATACCCAAACTTAGCTATGTAACTAACAGCAGCATGTTTACTGCAGGCTGTCTGCCCAAGCACTAACCTAAGTTCCCAATCATGTTGTGTAGCCCACCCTAACTAAAACAATAAGCCAGTTTGTTATATTTATTCTAATAGCAGGACTCATGGCAACGTTTCATGGAATTCATGTAACATCTATAACCAGTTAAATGTTACATGACATCATACAGTATGCTTTAGTCACCAGGCCTGGCTCGTGGTGCAAATCTGTGTACAGCTCCGTGTACACTTGAATACAGTTAGGCAAGTTCCAAAGTATTTCTTACTATATGCAGTATTAATACAGTCGTAATATTGAATTGAATTTAACATTTTAATTCTAACACCCCAAACCAGAGGACTTTCATCTTCCCCTTTCTTCTCTTTTCTCTTTTTTCTAATATCTGATGTCTATTTTCTCATACTTACTGTCATTGTTGGAGCCAGTTTCCATAACACCATAAGGAGGAGTGAGAAGTCCAGACATATACTGTCGATATTTCTGAAAGACAGTGATGGCACATTCAGTCAGGTATAGATGTATAAAGCCATTCAATGGATGATGTGGTATTTACATTTGTGTGTCTGCTGCCTTGTGCTTCACATGCACAAAAGCAATCTGAGGCAGTCAGACGTGTCTACTCTTAATGCTACAAGGCCTGCTTTCTTGACTGGAGCACACTGCCTTTATTTTATCAGAAGTTGTGCTAAAACATTTCCCTCTTTCATCTTCCCTAAAGCATGACTTGGAGGGTTCTAATAAATCTATATTGTACTTATTTGTGTGATTTCCCATAAAGGCTGTTTTAAAGCTTGTTTGAAATTACACTACTAAGCTGAACTCAAGCTAGAAAGCTACTTTATTGTAGGGATGGAGGCAAGGCTGTTAACTAAGGATTCATGAGAATCACGTACCACTACAATCTTGGTGTCAGATTTTAAATATACAGGATTTAGTGCAAAAACTCTAAACATTTAATTCCAATACACTAAGTTTGGTTTTAAGAAACTACAAGGTTCTGAAACACACAAACCCAGCACCTCATGTTATGTATACACATGCACAAAAACTGTAATATCAGATGAAACTTTGTAACTGTAAAAATAATGTCCCTTGTACCACTGTAAACTACATAATTGTAACTGACATCAGTAACTGGTATTTTTCTTCAGTGAATGCTGGTGACATGATCAATAAGGTTCAAAGCTCTGCTAGGGCTTAAGAAATTCACAGAAGTTAAAAAATAACACCAAAGGAAAAAAAATGTCCTTTTATCAAATACAAATCATTCAATGAACAAGCGACACATTTTTGTTTTCAATCATACTATATTACTGTCATGCTTAAGGTTAAACAACTATAATTCCCTTTTGGAACTGTCAGAAAACAAGCTTGTGCAACAGGGATGCTGATGATCAGTGTAAATAAAATGTTTCATGCAGTCCTTAGGATGTGCAGTGAGCTGAATGTGAACAACCAACCAGCTGAAATTCATGTAGGTTTCAACTAAGCACACATAATAATTGAGACAGAAAATTTCCCTCATAGTACAATTTTAATTTAAAAGTTTTATCCTTTGTTCTATGGAGCTGTTTGGATGTAGTGACTTTTAAAATATTGTCTGCTGGATTTTAACAGATGCTTGAATTACCCATTTAACATTTCTTTTTCTTGGAAATGGATATGAAAATATCATCAATTCTAGTACTAAAGACTGAATGTCTTGCATTCTAAGTAATAACAAAAGCTACAAAGATTACATTAATCTTAATAATCCAATCCTATTTTTAGACAAGCTATTACATCCTAAAGCTTAGTAGCATATTATTTAAATCTCACCCATAATCCAGCTGAAAACTCATAGGAGCAAAACTATGTTATATCCCTGGTCAGTCACACAAAATATATGCTGCTTCATTTGAGGATAAAACTCTCCTGTTTTCTTTCCCAACCATTCACTTTCCCATACTCTGCATCCAGTCCTATGCCTGGAACTCAGTTAAAGGAAGAATGTGAGAAATAATTGTTTTCTCAGTTCAGCTAGTAAATCACACAAGGGAAAAACTCATTTTGGTTGGCCAAATGAAAAAAAGGAAAGCATGTCACAAGGGGTTGAAATAATATTTTATTCAAAGAGTAGATAAACGTTTTGTTCTACCTTCTACTGAATTTGGACTTGAAAGTGATTTAGAAATGGAAAATTGAAATGTTTCATCTGGGATATGATAAAATAAAATTTTATAGGTTTTTTTCTTTTGTTCTTCCTCACCATTCAGATTATATTCGTTTCTTTGTTCTGTTTTTCCCAAAATAGCATTTTCCCAGAAATAATACATTATTAGTCCACATTTAATCCACCTTGATAAGGAACTTGAATTGTAGGAAGACAGTAATTTTCTCTTTTATTTCCTATACCACATCCACAGTCACCATACACTGCATGGCAGTTTCCCTTCTGGTTAATTCTCTAATATTCTTCCTGATTATTCTTCTCATGAAACGAAACACAGAACACACCATATAATTTCCAAAAGATTCGGAGGCCTAGCTTAACAAAAATATCTACACATAGAATAAGCCAGAGTTGCACATAACACTTCAAAGGAGGCACCTAACCCCATTCAGCCCCACCTCACACTCAGGATGACAAAGTCCCCCAGGAACAAAAGCACAGACTGCCAAGGACTTCAACTGTCATCTTCCACATGAAGGTCCCACCCTGTCACGGGATGACTCTACTTATGAGTCTGATACAGCAAGCCCAGTGAGCAGTGCTGCCTGTGAAGGAGTTCAGGCAGCATTACCAGAAGAGGCACATGCCCTCAGAAAGCTCAGTTGTTCAGACTCCTCCAGAGGACCTCTGCATAAATGAAACTACCTTCTGTATCTGGGTATCTGGAGGGAAGGCTGATATGACTGCCTACACATAGTCTCCCATGAAGATACCTCGGTGGGGTGCGGGCTGACATAGGAGGTATAATTTACACCTAAAATTGTATCACCTCATCAGCTAAATTAAATGTCAAGGGACACTTAGTTGTCAAGAAGTCAGGGAAACACTGTTTACTGGGAAACCTAAGTATGCAAAGAAAGTCGTAAGTAACTGCATCAAGATTCCAGGCATGAGATCTCTGAAAGCTGAGATAATGAGGAAAACACAATACTGACTGTGAGACCTATCTTGTTATCATAATGTCTATAAATGAAAAGAAAATGCAGTAAGATAAATTGTACTGGGAGGTGGCATTTAAAATCATCCTGAAGATTAATAGACTAAATATTTACAAAAGGTTTTTGAAAATGTATTCCACTGGTGGTATGAACTCTGGAAAGATTTTCCTTATGAAAGACAGCAACAGTTATCAAATCATTATAAGCTTGTTTATTACCAGAAGTCTTCAAGTTCTGTAAATCCAACATGACAGCAGGTTTTAAAACTACGCTTAGTGACCTATTCACTCTGTTTTCAGATTTCTACCAATTTATAAACTCTATCATGCAACAGCTTAAAGATCAGACACTTCCTACATCTAATCTGACAGCACGAGTAATAAAGACAGTATTTTTTCTTCCAGTTACTGACCACCTCATATCCATGCAGTGGTGAAAATTAACATGACCTTTTCAGCCACTGCTATAGCCTAAAGCACAGAAGAGTACTGACAAGGAACAGCTGGGGATGAGAGAAAAGGAGGAAAGAGAACCACACACTTGCCTTACTGAGGAGGTGCTGTGGGTGAATTTTCATACCAACAGTTTTTAAGGCCACTCATTCAGCACTGGTGAGGCCACACCTTGAGTACTGTGTTCAGTTTTGGGCCCCTCACTACAGGAAAGACATTGAGGTGTTGGAGCGTGTCCAGAGAAGGGCAGTCAAGTTGGTGAGGGGCCTGGAGCACAAGTCTTATGAGGAGCAGCTGAGGGAACTGGGTTTGTTAGTCTGGAGAAAGGGAGGCCGAGGGGAGACCTTATCGCTCTCTACAACTACCTGAAAGGAGGTTGTAGTGAGGTGGGTGCTGGTCTCTTCTGTCAGGTGGCTGGAAATAGGATGAAAGGAAATGGCCTCAAGTTGCAGCAGGGGATGTCTAGGTTGGATATTAGGAAAAAATTCTTTACTGAAAGTGTTGTCAGGTATTGGAACAGGCTGCCCAGGGAAGTGGTTGAGTCACCATCCCTGGAGGTATTCAAAAAGCGTGTAGACAAGGCACTTCAGGACATGGTTTAGTGGGCATGGTTGATGGTTGGACTTGATGATCTTGAAGGTCTTTTCCAACCTAAATGATTCTATGATTCCGTGACTGTCAGACTTTTCAGTGTGTTCCTTCGCATGCTCTTATTTAGACTTTATTTGCAGTCAGCTGCAGTTAGTCTCAGAGGTTTTCATGACTGCAATAGATTTTCTTCTACTCTGTGAACTTAATTTGGTATATTTTTATATGCTAATGTTTAGAAAGGCAATTACTATAATTCTGATGCTAGCTATCTCTAAATTTCTTACAGATATTTCTAGCATACCTAAGGTATATAAAATGTCTTTGTAGTTAGTCTCTTCTCTTCTGCTGCAAGTACTGAAGATCTAATACCTGTTTAATGGGAAAGAAGGAGCAAAAAAGAGATCTATACAATATAAACACTCCAAAACAAGCCAGGTAGATGTGAAGAAAATAGATGAGCCTTTGTGGTCCATGTGCATTGCACAGCAAAACCCCAGCGCTCTAATGGGAAAGACTCAGGACTGATGAAGGGAAGACCTCCTGGGTATAAAGATTTGAACACAGGTTCTACACCAGATACTCCCCCAAGTGCAGCAGAGTGGGCTGTGTAGTAAGGACCGAGGTAGTAATGGTTTGTACCACTAAGGAGTCAAGTCAGGCTTCTGATACTTCCCCACGCTAAGGTGAACCTACATGTGGCCAGATACTAGAAAGTGAGTGTCTTGTAACATTGGAGAAGGTTTTGTAGACCACAACAGGTGCTTGGCTGAATACATGGTCTCTCTCTTTCTCCTTCTCTTTCTCCCCCACTCACAATCTCAATCCACAGTGTCACTTTTGACTAGATGCACTTCTGCTGCCTCCTGTTCTGCCTACCACTGGCAGCAGAGATGGTGACAAGGCAGAGCCTGAATTACTTGCAAACTTGGGAGTAACACAACATAATTCATTTCAGTTGTAGAAATCCTAGGGAAAACACCAAGGTGCCCTTTCCACACACATTTTTCAAAACCGTGTGTAACTATTTTATTAGATGCTGTTATTTTGACTATTACCTGATTTCTGCAATCCTCCTGTAATATCTATCCACACTCGTGCAATGGTTTTTCTTGGGGAATATATGCTGTAGCTTGACAATGTGGGCCAGCTTCTCTATTTTCTTTTGAAAATAAATAATTGATCACTGATGCTCTCAGTACAACTCTGTTCTTCCTCTAAGTTGGCTGTACCAGTCATAACATTTTGGCAATGAACCACCTCCCCTGTGAGCATTACTCACAAGGGTGC